TCTCTCCCCTTCCCCTTCCCTTTCCCTCTTCCTCTCCCTCTCTCTCCTCTCCCCTTTCCCTCTTTCTCTCTCTTCTCTCTCCTCTCTCCCTCCCTCTCTGTCCCCTTCCCTCCCCCTGTTCCTCCTGCTCTCCCTCCCCTTCTCTCCCCCGTTTCCTCAGAACCTTCGAGACCCTGAGGAACCACCCGTCCTTCTACCTGTTTAACCATCGGGGCCGGGTGCTATTCCGGCCGCTGGACGTGGAGACGAAGACGCCCGCCCCGGCCGTGCCCTCTGCCCTCAAGCTCCGCCAGCCCAAGCCCGGCTGGCGTTAGCCGGCGGCCCCCCCCTCAGTACGCCCGGCGGGCTAGGGGAGAGGGCCAGTGAAGGGCGGGAGGTCCATCGTGCTGGGCCAGCCTCGTCTGCCTGCGAGGCCCTGCCTTCGCCGTTGGAGACTGGCATGTCGCCGGGATCTTGCTGTGCGCCACCTGCCGCCAGCGCGCTCGGGGGAGGCGAAACAGGACGGACGCTGCCTAACGCAATAAACGGTCTGTTGGTTTTCAGAGAGTTCACCTTGTCTTCTTTCCCATCAACCCACCTTCCCTTCACCTCGATAACCTCCCCTCCTTGGGCCGGGGTTGGTGGGGGGTGGTGGTGGTGGTGGTGGTGGGGGATGTCGATTCTCGGAGCCGATCGGGTGCGCTGGGCGAGGGAAATTGCGAGTGGGGGAGGGGCATCGCATTCGACCAACCCGTGGGAGGCTCCCGAAAATATTCCCGGCACGAAATGGCAGAAGAGGAGGGATTTCAGCAGGCTTGTTTTCCCCCACACCCTCTTGGAAGGCAGCTTCGAAAACAATAGTAGAAGCCCCTTGGGATTGGAGGTACCAGCACAGATTGGCAACATAGCTCCTGGATCGGAGCAGACACGCCGTTGGGGGGGCTCCGCACCTTCGTCCTCAGAGGGAGCAGGGTTTGCAAGCAGGATGCCTGGACTTGGAAGGGTTGGCTTCACCTGAGACGTCTCCTGGGTCCCCTGTTCACAGCTTTTCAGGCTGCAGAACTGCAACCGGGGGTGTCCCGCAGGGATCCATGCTGGGTCCCCTTCTCTGTGCGTCATTTTTGGAAACGATTTGGATGGGAACAGAGGAGGCACACTTAGTAAGCTCTGGGCTGACACCAGGATTGGGGGTGTCGCAGATGGTGAAGGTTCTCTTTAAGTTTACAAAGGGATCTTGATCGATTGGGTCAATGGGCTGAGGAGGGGCAGATGGAGTTTAATTTGGATAAATGTGAGTTGGTAAAACAAACAAGGGGCAGAACCTGTACAATTAAAAGCAAGACTTTTGGGATAGTGTTGTAGAACAGAGAGACCTAGAGGGTTCAGGGACATAATTCTTTTGTGTCACAGGTAGACGGGGGAGTGAAGAAGTTGTTTGGCGCGCTTGCCTTCATTGCTCAGAGCTTTGAGTGTAGGAGTCAGGGACGTCACGCTGAGGTTGTACAGGGATGTTGGTGAGGCCTCTTCTGGAGCACTGTGTCCAGTTCTGTTGTAGGAAGGATATTATTAAACTGGAGAGAGGGTTTGGGAGAGATTTACCAGGATGTTACTGGGTATGGAGGGTTTGAGTTATCAGGAGAGGCTGGGACTTTTTTCACTGGAGCGTAGGAGGTTGAGGGATGACCTTATAGAGGTTTATAAAATCATGAGGGTTATAGATAGAATGAATGGCAGATGTCTTTCCCCAAGGAAGGGGGCATTTAAAGACTAGAGGGGGCACATTTTTAAGGGGAGAGGAGAGAGATTTAAAAAGGACATGAGGGGCTTTTTTTTTTTACAGAGTGGTTTGTGTGTCGAATGAACTTCCTGAGGAAGTGGTGGATGTACAGTTGCAATGTTTAAAATACATTTGGATCAGTACATGGATAGGAAAGGTTTGGAGGGTATGGGCCAGGAGCAGGCAGGTGGGGCTAGTTTGGTTTGGGATTAGGGTCGGCACGGACTGGTTGGGTCGAAGGGTCTGTTTCCGTGCTCTGTGACTCATGACCAAGCGAGAGGTGGCATGGGGAACATGGGGGTCATTAATCAGTCCTGCCAAGGTTAGCACCCACTGGAGGTGAAGCAGATCCATGAGTGGGTGGTCAGTGTCTGTATACAAAAGGGACTTGCTCGGGCCCGAGTGATGCAGTTGATCTGCACCCTTCCCTCAAACGTCGCTCACTGTCTCACTTGTAGACATCCACAGCTCTATTAGGGGAAGAGAGAGTCCCAAAGATCCCCCAACCCGAGCAAGGAAATTCCTCCCCGTCTCAGTCCGAAATGGCCAGAGCCTCAGACATGGACGCTCCCCAGACCAGGATGGGGAAACGGCCTCTCGGTGTCTATCCTGTCGAAGGCCCCCTTTCCCAATTTGATGCATTTCGACTGACCGTCTTTGTTCCGTTCGTGTCTGTAAGAGTCACGCAACTGTTAAAAGTGTAGAGGAGGCCATTCAGCCCATCAGGCCTGCAGCAGCACACACTCTCAGGACATTGTTACGGCGGATTTTGCACACCGTGACCCAGGTATTCGGACTTTTGGGGGGGGTGTGTCATGCGTTGATTTAGTGATGGCGAGCTCCCAGGAATGACAACGTGATGACTGGATACGCAGTTTACCAACCGCATTTCAACAAAGCTGCGAAATGTCGGGGAAGCTGTCTGCAGCGTTTCCCTCAAACCTCACAATCTGCCCCATCAGCAGGGGGCAGCAGGATCCATGTTGTCAAGAGGACAGACAGTATCCTACACGCTCTACATCGGGGACACTGTGGCGCTCCCTCGGCGCTGACCCTCCGGCAGCACGGAGCTCCCTCTGGCAGTGCGGCGCTCCCTCGGCGCTGACCCTGCACAGCACTAGACTGTCTGCCTCGATTTCTGGTGCTCTGGACACTGACTCTGAGTCAAGAGTGATGCCAGTGTGTTAAGACTATTATAAAGGATGCCCCATTTGCCGCACTTTCTTGAGGAGGAGGGATTCTGTTGTGACTCACTGCCATTATTTATCCCAATCAGGCAAAGCAGGAGGCTAGTCTCCCCTCTTGCCTGCCCCGGCTTGTGCAATGAACATCACTGTGAGGTGCTAACTTCATGTTCTCATCCAAATAATCACCCTCTTATCTTTAAGGGGATGTGATGGCATTATCACGGGACTGTTAATGCAGAGACCCAGCTTATGTTCCGGGGCTCTGGGTTCGAATCCCACCACAGCAGATGATTTTGAATTCAATTAAAAACCTGGAATTAAAAGTATAGCTTGATTTGTTATTGTCACGTGTAGCGAGATATAGTGAAAAGTATTGATCTGTGTGCTAACCTGACAAATCATACTTGACGTAAGATCAGAACAGAATGTAACGTATAGTGTTACAGAAGGATCAACTTTATGTTCACAAGCCTAATAACAGCAGGGAAGAAGCTGTTCTTGAATCTGATGGCACGTCTTTTCAAACTTTCATATCTTCTGCCCGACGGAAGACGGATGAGGCCGTGGGAGGCGTCTTTGACTGTGTTAGCTGCTTTCCCAACGCAGCGGCAAGTATCAACGCAGTTAAGGGATGGAGGCTGGTTTGCATGATGGACTGGGCTATGTCACAACCCTCTGTGATTTCTTGCTGCCTTGGGCAAATTAATTGCCACGCGATGAAGCTGCTGTTGGAAAAATGCATCTGGGTCACTCGCCTCCTCCAGGGAGGAAAGTGCGATCCTCACTTGGTCTGGACTACATGTGACTCCAGACTCTGGGATGGGAAACAAATGCTAGCTAAGCAAGCTCTTCCACTGAATAAAAATAAAAATTACTTGTCTTCTTAATCACCATTTCGTTTGTAGGAGCTTGCTGTTTGCAAATTGGGTGCAAGACTTCCTGCAAGTGGTTTTGTTTTGAAGGGATACTCCGGGCTATCACGAGTAAATGGGGCGTCCGGCTTGCTGGGGTTTGTAGTCCGCTGGCTACCGATCTCTCCTGCAACTGAACGGATCCTATGGCGGTCGAGGACTACATTTCCCAAAGGCCTGCGGGGTCACATCGGTGTTAGGGAAGGGAGGCGCCATGGTCGCCGGGACCCGTAGTCCGTGTCTGTGTTTTGGGAGGGGGTGGTGTTCGACTTGCTGCGCCGAGATGCCCATAAACGGAGCGGCGCTGGGCACGCCGGGAGCTGTAGTCCGCTCTCCCCGACCCTCGGCGTGAGCGTCGCGGAGGGCGAACTACATCCTCCGTCTAACCCTGCGCGCCCCAATGTGTCCGGGCGCCATCTTGGATAGCTGTGGAAACCTGGGCGGGAGGCCCACCGGGAGTTGTAGTCCACCGAACCGCGGGGCGTCGTCGTCGTCTACGGGGCGTCGTGGAGGCGAAAGACTACAACTCCCATCGGCCACACACCACTCACGTCAGAAACGGCTCGCCTCTCGTCCTTCGGGCGCCATCTCCCCTGGACTCCATGTTGGTGTCGCAGTGAAGAGAGAGCGGGAGGAGGAGGAGGAGAAGAAGAAGGAGAAAAGGAGGCTCCCAGACCGCCTGGGCCCTCCCTTCTTTTCGTTTTATCTTCGCCGCCGACTCCCCTGAAAGGTCAGTGTCTGAGGACGGGGACGCGTTCGGGGCGGAAAGGAGTCGGGGTGGGGGCGGCATCGAGCGGACTAGGCCGCGAACGGAGCCTCGGCCTCGCGTACGGACCCCTCCGCCCCTGGAGAGGGTGTGAATGCGGCCCAACTCCCCGCCCTCCGCAAACCATACCAAACCCAGAAGGGAAAAAAAAACAAACTGCATCGACATCCCACCTCCCCGTCCCTCTTTTTGACCTGTAAATTTTATTTCAGTTCATGTCATTAAGTGAGGGTCCAATTTATGTGTGTTTTAATGTGATAAACACTTCCTGTCGCTGTTTAAATCGTCCAGAACGTGCACGTAAGCCCCTATCTGTTGGGAGCTATCCCTCAGATGCAAATCTGCGTTCAATATGATAAAATCCCCTCCTGACATTCATAAAACCCTAATTTGTGTCTTTAATGTCATAAAAGGCTCCTGATAAACACTTCCATCTGTGTGTTTAATGTTATACAAACCTAATTCTATATATAATCCCCAAGCTGTGTCCTTCATGTTACAAAAAAGTCTCCTAAAATACATACACTTCTTAATCTGTGTGTTTAATGTTATAAAACCACCTGAAGTGTGTACACACACCTAAATCTGGGTGTTTAATGTTGCAGAAACCTAATTATACACATAATCCCCAATCTGTGTCCTTCATGTTATAAAAGCCTCCTGACGTACGCGCGCACCCCAATCTGTAAGTTTAATGTTTAAAAAAAAACCTTCTGAAATACACACAAACCCTAATCAGTGTGTTTAATCTTCACAACAATATGTATAATTTCCAATGTTTGTAATTAGTATTACAAAATTTTCCAACTAATACGTAGAAGTATCCAGTTGGTGTCATTAATGTTATAAAAACCTCGTGAAATAGCCACAAAGCCTAATTTGTGTGTTAATGTTTTAAAATGTTCCTAATAATGTGTATAATTCCTAGTCTGTTTGCTTAATGTTATAAAAGCCTTCTGAAATACACGCACGCTCTAATCGGTGTCTAATGTTATACAAACCTCCTGAAATACACACACACCCCAATCTTTGTGTCTAATGTTGTACAAACCTCCTGAAATATACGCACACCTGAATCTTTGTGTTTAACGTTATTAAAAACCTTCTGAAATACACACACACCCTATACCCTAATCTGTGTGTTTATTTTTACAAAAACCTCCTGAAATATGCACACTTCCCAATCTGTGTGTTTAATGTCATAAAATCTTCCCAATAATGCATATAAACCCCAGTCTTGGTAATTAATTTCATACAAACCGTCTGGAATACACACAAACCTGATCTGTGTTTAAATGCTTTAAACTCCTCGAATAACATTAATGACCCAGATTGGGATTTTACGCATTATTAGGAGAGTTCTATAAGATTAAACACACAGATTAAGGTTTATGTGTATTCTGGGAGGTTTTTAATATCATTAATGATACAGATTGAGAGTTATATGCGTTATGAGGAAGATTTCGTAATATTAAACACATTAATGACAGATTGATACATATAATCGCCTATGTTATGGAAATTGTCTGAAATACATACAAACCTTAATCTGTGTGTTTAATGTTATAAATCACCTCATAATATGTATAATTTCATGTCTGTGACATTAATGTTATAAATACCTTCTGAAATTTGTGTTGCAAAATCTTTTTCATAATATGTATAACCCCCAATCTGTGTGTTCAATATTATAAAATCTTCCTAATAATATGTATGATTCCCAAACTACATCGTTAATGTTCTAAAAACATTCTAGTAATACATATAATTTCCAATCTGTGTCATTGTTATGAAAACGTCCTGAAATACACAAGCCTTAAATCTGTGTTTAATGTTTTAAAATTTTCCTAGTAATGCATATAATTCCTAATGTTTGTAATGCGTATAATTTAAAAATCTTCTGAAATATCTATAAACTCTAAACAGTGCTGAATGTCATAAACCGGCATTGTAATACACATAACCCCCCAATCTGTCATTAATGTTATAAAAATCTCCTGAAATATGGGCAGATCCCAAACTGTGTGTTTAATGTTGTAAAATCTTTCTAGTTATATGTATAATCTCAAATCTGTATCATTAATGTTATCCAAAATTTCTTGGAATGCACACAGACCCCAATCTGTTTAATTTATAGAAACATCACAAAATACATATCCCAGTTTGTGTGTTAAGTGTTATTAAAAAAAACTCCCATAGATTGACACAAACTCCAGTTTGTGCATCTAATATGATAAAAATGTTGTGAAGTTCATATAAACGTCAGTCTGTGTTTTGAATGTTGTAAAGTTCTCCCAAAACACATACTTAATCTCAATTGATGTTTAACGTTATAAAATTGTTTTCTAAAAACACATAATCCTCAGGCGGTGTCTAATATTACAAAATCTCACCAAAATACATGCAAACCTCCCTCTGTATGTTTGTAGAACCATAGAATTTTGCAGCACAGTATTTAATGTTATAGGTCTCCTGGAATACATATAAATTTCAGTTTGTGTGTTTAATGTTATAAAATTGTCCTGTAAATACATGCAAACCCCAATCTGTGTTTAATGTTAGGAAAACCTGCTGAATACATAAATCTGAGTCCATGTTAATATTGTAGAAGTCTGCTGACGATAGAGGGGAGCCCCAAATTACGAATGAATGATTGTGCTTACAAATGCAGTTCCATTCAGGGGTGCATTTTAAAAACCTGACATATGAACCTTTCTTGTACTCAAGAAAAGTTGCTTTCCATTCTCCTGCCTTGTGTTCCAACTTGCGCATGGACTTCAGAACAGAAACCATTCGTGATTCAGGGACTGTCTGTACCTCACTCTGTGTGTTAAATGTTGTTTCTTAAAAAAAAATCTGTAAATACGCACAAATTCATCTTTAGTGTAAGTTATCAAATAAACCTCAATTTTTGTGTTGAATGTTATAAAATCCTCCCAAAAATACACACAAATCTCAATCTGTGCTTAAAGTCATAAAATATTCCTGTAAAATACATACAAACCCCAAATACAGTCATACAACACAGAAACAGACACTTCGGTCCAGTTTGTCCATGTTGATCAAGTTCCCAAGCTAAACTAGTCCCACTTGGCTGCATTTGGCCCATATCGCTCTAAACCATTCCTCTTCATATACTTGTTCAAATGTCTCTTAAATATTATCATTGTACCTGCATCTAACAGTACCTCTGGCAGTTCGTTCTACACATGTGTGGGAAAAAGTTGCCCCTCAGGTCCCTTTTAAATCGTTCTCCTCACCTTAAAAATATGCCCCCTCATTTGAGCTCTCCCACCCTAAGGAAAAGACCTTTGCTATTCACCATATCTATGCTCCTCATGATGTTATTGACTCTATAAGGTCGCCCCCTCACCCTGCTATGCTCCAGTGAAAAAGGTCCCAGCCTCTCCTTACAGGTCAAAACCTCTCGCCCCGGCAACATCCTGGTAAATCTTTTCTGAACCCTCTCCAATTAAATGTCCTTCCTATTGAGTTTTTAAATGTTAGAAAATCCTCATGAAATGTATGTAAACTCCAGTCTGCATGCTTAATCTTTTAAAATCCTCCAAGTTATGTGTATAAATCCCCCATCCATGTTAAATGTTAAAAAATGTTCTGAAATGCATATGACCCCCAATCTATGTGCTTAATGACGTGAAAACCTGCATGAAATTCATATAAACCTCAGTTAGTGTGTTTAATGTTATAAGTCTAAGAATAAGGGGTAAACCATTCAGGACTGAGATGAGGAAGAATTTCTATACTCAGTTGTGACCCTGTGGAATTCTCTCCCACAGGAAGCTGTTGGGGTCAGTTTGTTAGATATATTCAAGAGGGAGCTGGACGTGGTCCTTGTGGCTAAGAGGATTAAGGGGTACGGAGAGAGAGTGGGAGTCTTAAATTGCATGATCATATTGAATTGTGGGTGCAGGCTCGAAGGGCTGAATGGCCTACATCACCACTTATTTTCTATGTTTCATAATCTTGCCAAAGAGTACTGGGGTTCCGTGAGTAATGAGCATCTGATTTATGAAGGACCGTACTTACAAACATGATCCTGTCCAGCGGTGTAATTTAAGGACCCAACATATGAACATTTCTCATGCTTACAGACAGCTGCTTTCCATTGTACTCCCATTGTGTTTCAACTTACCTACAGACTCCACAATAGAAACCACTTGCAACCTGGGACTGTCTGTGTATACAAACCCTAATTTCTGTGTGTTACATCTATAAAATTCTCCTGAATCACATTAAACACATAGATTAGGGTTTATACGATGTGAGATCGCTGAAATGTATACAAATCCTCGTCTGTGTTTTAACATCAAAAAATTCTGTTTTAAATACATATAAATCTCAATCTGTAAGTCTAACGGCATAAAATATTCATGTAAATACACACAAACCTCAATCTGTGTTTAACGTGATAAAATATTTCTGTAAATACACACAAATCTCAATCTATGTTTAATGTTGTAAAGTATTCCTGTAGGTGCGTACGAACCTCAGTCTGTGTGTTTAATGTTATAAAATGTGCCTGTGAATACATAGAAGCCCCAATCTGCTTGTGTGAAGAACTATAAAATTGTTTTCACCCAGACAGAAAGTTGGAACTCATTGCCTGTAAAGGGGGGAAGAGATAGAAACCCCACATCACACTGAAGGAGCGTTTAGATATGCCCTTGCAAAGCCAGGGCTATGGGCCTTACCAAATGCTGCTAAGTGGGATTAGAATATTTAGGTGGTTGCTTCTGACTGGCGCAGACTGGATGGACCGAAAGGCTCTTGCCCGTGCTGTAGATCGATCAGGTGTGAACTTATTGAATGGTGGACTCGACTCAAAGGGTCTTATGTAATTTTAGTTTCGAGCCATAACTGTTCCCAGTACGACTTTGGGCAATACAATGTGTAGGTGGTGACCTGCCACCCTTGAGCTGCTGCAGTTGACATGGTTAGGAGGCACTCTCTCGGGGACAGGAGTCTCAGGAGTTTGACCCAGCAACAGCGAAGGAATGGCTGAGGAAAGTTCCAACACGGGGTATGTTGTGTGTGTGAACAAAAGAGGAGTACAGCACAGGAACAGGCCCTTCAGTCCTCCAAGCCTGTGCCCCGACTAAACTAAAAAAAAAACCTGCCCTTATTCGGTCTGTATCCCTCTATTCCCTCCCTTTTAACGTAGCCATCCAGGTGCCTCTTAAATGTCACCAACATGCCTGTTTCCATGAACCCCTCTGGCAGTGCATTCCAGGCTCCTACCACTCTCTGCGTGAAAAACATTCCTTGTACATCTCCCTTAAACTTTTCCCCCTCTCACCTTGAACCTGTGCCCCCTTGTGATTGAAGCTTCAATCCTGGGAAAAAGCCTGTGACTATCCACCCTATCTATGCCCCTCATAATTTTGTAGACCTCCATCAGATCTCCTCTCAGCCGCTGTCTTTCCAGTGAAAACAACCCTAGTATTTTTAACCTTAGTACCCTCGAGACCGGGAACCATCCAGGTGAACCTTCTCTGCACTCAGTCCAAAGCTTCCAATTCCTGCTGGTAGTGTGGTGACCAAAACTGCACACAATACTCCAAATGCGGCCGAACAAGGGTTTTATATCGCTGCAGAGATAGGAAGCGCTGCCAATGGTGGAGACAGAGATAACACCATGTGGAGCTGTGGCTCCAGCGGCACACTGTGTTATCTCTTTCATATCGCTACAAAATGGTTTGCCAACTCTTGTACTCCCGGCCGATGAAAGCAAGCATGCCACGTGCGTTCTTAATCACTGTGGCCATCTGTGTGTGTCTCGGAGGGAAACTTGCAGGGGGGTGGCGTTCCCTTCTGTGGCTGCTGCCCCTTGGATGAGGGGTTTGGGGGCCATTTTGGAGTGGGTAGGGGGGAGTTGGGGGTGGGGGTTGGTGGTGGGTGGTGGTGGCAAGAGGAGAGATAGCAGCTTTGAAAGATGCTGTCAGTCAGAGGAGCCTCAATGAGTCACTGCAGTGCATCGTGTAGACGGCACACGCTGCTACTGCTGTGTGTCGTGGGTGGAGGGAGGGAGGGAGTGAGTGTCGAAAGTGGGGGTTAGTGTCTCGATTGTAGAAACTAGGGGTGGGTCATTAGAGCCTGCTGTGCTGTTCAACAGGCTGATCTTCTATCTTAATGCCTGTTTCTGCTTTCTCTCCATACTCCTCGATGCCTGAAAGTTGACCTGTCTGTTTCTTGAATGTACTTAGTCACATGGAGAGAGATTTTCTCAGGTTGCCCACCCCCTGAGGGAAGACATGTTTCCCCATCTCTGTCCTACTGTATCCCCTGGACTCGCCCTCGCCTGCCCCAACCAGGGGGAAGCATCCTTCCTGCATCTAGAGTTTTGTGCATTCCAGTCAGATCTGCCTCTCACCCGCACGGTGACCCCGGGGAACCAGCGTGTCGCGATATTTAAAGCCGTCTCGATCCAGTGGAGAGGACGTGTCCTTCATAATCGTTCTCTGACCTTCTGTGTCGTCTTCACCCTTTCTGACAGCAGCCCAACCCCTCCTCCCCCACCCCCCCCCTCCCCCAATCCCCAGCCCCACACACACACAAACCCAGCATGTACAACGGCATCGGCCTCCCCACCCCCCGGGGCAGCGGCACCAACGGCTACGTCCAGCGGAACCTGTCCTCCATCCGGCACAAGAAGGACAGGGTGGACTACAAGTCGGAGGAGGAGCTGAAGAAGCTGGAGTCAGGACTGGTGAAGAAGCCCAACCAGGACATCCTGGACCATGAGCGCAAACGCAAGGTGGAGCTCAAGTGCATCGAGCTGGAAGACATGATGGAGGAACAAGGGTAAGCAGGAGTCACTGGGAGAGGGGACGGTGGAGAGCGGGAATGAACGGGGACGGGGTTTGGGGTCCATGGGGATGGTGTAGAGCGGGAATGAACGGGGACGGGGTTTGGGGTCCATGGGAATAGTGTAGAGCGGGAGTGAACGGGAAGGGGTTTGGGTCCATGAGGACGGTGTGAACAGGAAGGGGTTTGGGCCCATTGGGACGGTGTAGAGCGGGAGGGAACGGGAAGGGGTTTGGGTCCATTGGGACGGTGTAGAGCGGGAGTGAACGGGAAGGGGTTTGGGTCCATTGGGACGGTGGCCTGTGCTGTTTGACTTGAGTTTTTCCACTTCTGTGCTCAGGTACTCGGAGGAGGAGATTCAACAGAAAGTGGCTACGTTTCGACAGATGCTGGTGGAGAAAGTCGGGAGCCAGGGCAAGGAGGAACCAAAAGCACGGACAGCGTGAGTACCTCTCACATGGCCTGGCGCAGTCCTTCCCCTCTTCTACAGCATCGTTTCCAGGTCAGCATGGGGTGTGAATGTGAGCCTGTGTGTGCGTGTGTGTGCGTGAGTAATGGGGCTCCGAGGGGAACTTGCTAGCGGTACTGTTTTCCCCTGCGTCTCCGCTCATCCTTCTACAGGGTTGAGTTGGTGGATTTAGAAGGCGCTCTCGGAGGAGCCTTGGTGAGTTGCTGCAGTGCATCTTGCAGACTTGTGCCTTGTAGATGATAGCCAAGCTTTGGGGAGGTGAAACTGGAGGGAGTTACTCGCTGCAGGATTCCTAACCTCTGACTTGCTCCTGTAGTCACAGGATTGATATGGGCCTGGGGTCCGGGTCAGTTTCTGCTCAATGGGTAACCCCCAGGATGTTGATAGTTGGGTCGGGTTGTGGGGTGGATTCAGTGATAGGAACACCATTGAACGTCAAGGGTGGGGGGGAGGCAATAGTTAGATTCTCTGTGTTTCAAGCTCAGAGGAATTGACATGTTTTCTATCCTGGGTATCCATCGTTTAGAGTAAAACAAACCCTTACCTTCGGAAAGTTTGATAGGTACCCCCGTGTGCCCTTGCACCTCTGACCCCAGAGGAAACAGTTTCTTCTCTTCACTCATTGAGTGAGGCAAATAGGAAAGAGATGATAAAGGCAAGGCTCAGCCAGCAATCCCTGAATTGGGAGAGAGAGAAAAAGATGCTGCAGTGCAGAGGGATCTGGGAGACCTGGTAGACGGATCCCGTCTAGACGGTACGCAGAATCAGCGATTGCTTTGGACGGCGAATGCAATGTTGGGAAGCGGAGGGGGGGGTTCCTGAATCCAGAGCCCCGTGCCCGGGCTCTGACCTCCTTCCCCGACTGACTCGTGCTCGGTTCGCTGAAGGTTCGGCACGTTCCAGGGGTTTGTCTCGGTGGAGCGGGAATTTGGGACAGCGAGCAGCGATCTTAGCGAGATGCCTCGGCTCACGTCCCGACCTTTCGCTTCCCTCTGTCAGGGTCAGTGAGACCCACCAACTGGCTGAAGCCAATGAGAAGAAGAACGAGCGGCTCCGGGCAGCGTTTGGGATCAGCGACAGCTACGTGGATGGCAGCTCCTTTGACCCCAAGAGGCGAGCGCAGGAGGTGGCAGAGAAAGCTGAGCAGCAGAAGCAGTACGGGTAGGTCAGGGGGCATGATGCAGTTCCTTACACTGTCCGTGCTGCACATTCCACACACATCCCCAGCACCACCATCTGTCACGCCCTTTCATCAACGTGCTCTATGCTGATGCCCATCTTCTCTCGCTCCCGCTCCCTCTTCCCTTCTTCCCCTCCGGCTTCCCCACTCCTCCTGCTCTCTGCAACCCTCTCTCCGAACTGCTCCTCCCCTTCTCTCCTTCCTACTCTCCCCCAATCCCCCCCAATCCTCCCCCCGCCCCAGTCCCAAAGGGCCAGCTGCGAGGCTGTGGTGCAGCCACCCCTTCCTGTGCTTCAGGGTGAAACGGTGCAAAGCAGCAATTCCCAAACAGTCCAGATGTCTCTCTCTATGTTGTTGTTTGCAGTAACGGGCCGACAAGCCTCTCCCCGTGCTCTGAATACGCTATGGTTTCGTTTGCCGTTCCCCGGGATTCAGTGTGGTAATTGGCGCCCGTCCATTCCCGTCCTGACAGTGAGCTGGCTGTGTTAAGTCCATGCGCTCGCAATGTTGCTATGTCCAATTGGAGGCACGGTGCTGTTACAGCACAGGAAGAGGCCCCTTGGCCCATTTTGCCTGTACTGCTCATTTGTGCCCAGCAACAAGGAAGGCCTAGCCACTGTTGTTCAAAGAATGGTACGGGGCGACTAAGTTATGATCACTCTTTCCTTTGGTTGTTGGAAGCTGAGTTACGTTTGCTCTTTATCGAGGGCATTTTGGATCGAAGGGATGGTGGGCAGGTACTCATTCCCTGGAGCATTGCCCGCGGCAACATCTCGGCCATTGGGGTAGGGGTGGCGATCTGTTGACAAGTCTCTCGAGCGCGAGGTGGAAAGGGCTTGTTTTTACATTTTCCCCCTTTAAGGGTGCCACTCAATCTCTCTGACCCTGTCGTCGGTTGCTTTCTCCGCTTTCTCCCAGCGGCAGCAACGTCTACGAGCCGGCCCGTTCGAGATCACCATCGCCGAAGCGGAGGAAGAAGAAGAAAGCTCGGAGCCGGGAGCGGTGAGTCGGGAGTGGAAGGCGCCGCGGGAAGGCGGACGTGTTTGCGAGGAGCACAGTAGGGAAGGTTCAGCTTGTCTCCCGTTCTAACTCTCACGAACCCCACTCTCCCATCCCTCTGCTGAAGCCTCGTCTCTCTTTGTCAGCGCGCATGAGCGTGAGAGAGCATATGAGCGTGCGAGCGTGTGCGCGTCTGTGTGAGTGAGCGTGCGAGCGTGTGCGCGTCTGTGTGAGTGAACGAGCGAGCGTGTGCGCG